CCTAGAAGTGTCCCTGTGGGTCAGCCAGTGTCCTCCTGCTTAGTACAGGCCTCCCCCAGCTGTTCCTGCTCCCAGCCCATTTGTGGGGAACCCCGCAGCTCCCCAGCCCTCCTAGGGGCCCTTGTGCTGTGGTTCCCCCGGCTCTGATCCCTGATATGCTCTGGTCCCCAAATCACATAAACGCCTACTTTGATTTCAGCCCCTTCCTTGTCCCTGTGGGTCAGCCAGTGTCCTCCTGCTTAGTACAGGCCTCCCCCAGCTGTTCCTGCTCCCAGCCCATTTGTGGGGAACCCCGCAGCTCCCCAGCCCTCCTAGGGGCCCTTGTGCTGTGGTTCCCCCGGCTCTGATCCCTGATATGCTCTGGTCCCCAAATCACATAAACGCCTACTTTGATTTCAGCCCCTTCCTCCCCGGGAAGAATCATAGAATCATAGAATCATAGAATAATAGGACTGGAAGGGACCTCGAGAGGTCATCGAGTCCAGCCCCCCGCCCTCAAGGCAGGATCAAGCTCCGTCTACACCATCCCTGACAGATGTCTATCTAACCTGTTCTTAAATATCTCCAGAGAGGGAGACTCCACCACCTCCCTTGGCAATTTATTCCAATATTTGACCACCCTGACAGTTAGGAATTTTTTCCTAATGTCCAATCTAAACCTCCCCTGCTGCACTTTAAGCCCATTACTCCTTGTCCTGTCCTCAGAAACCAAGAGGAACAAATTTTCGCCTTCCTCCTTGTGACACCCTTTTAGATATTTGAAAACCGCTATCATGTCCCCCCTTAATCTTCTTTTTTCCAAACTAAACAAGCCCAGTTCATGAAGCCTGGCTTCATAGGTCATGTTCTCTAAACATGACCTATGAAGCCCAGTGGAAATCAAGCAGCCTCTTCCCATGCCGACAGCTATACGTGGAACTGCGCAGAGGCGAAAGTGACCAGCTGCTGGGGTGGGCGGCAGGGCCAAGCAGCAGGAGTGAGGGCCCGGGGGGGGGGGCACGTCCTTCATTAACCCTCCTTTCGCGGGCGCAATCCTTGCCAGGGTGTGTGTTTGTGTGACTGAGCTTGTTGGGGCCGATCCATAACCGTGACTCAGGCAGGTAAGGGCTGCAGGATTCCCCCCTTCCTTGCGCCACGACTTCGTGAGTCCCATGGAGTTCGGTGACACTCAACGGATTTCTCCGTTTTGCGTGGAATAAACCAGGGGAGATTTATGCGGATTAACGTCGTGGTGGTGTGAAAGTGCCCTGCCGGCAGCAGTGAACGTAACTTACAATCTCTTATCGGCACTGTCCTACGGCATCCTGAGTCCCTGCCCGCTCTTTCAGTAGCTCCCTGCTGGCTTTTGCTGCAGCTCAGCCAGCTCTTGCGGGAGCCCTGCACCGGGGCACACCTGCTCCCTTTCACCTCTGCCTACACCTCTGCCTACAGGGATTGGGGTTCATTGCACCGGGCACAGCACAAACCTAGGGCAGAAAGACAGTCCCTGCTCCCCAAACCAGTTCCTTCTTGGGAGCTGGAGGAGCGGAGTGAAAGGAATCAGTTAATTCTCCTCTTAAACAGCTTAAACGTCCCTTTGCAAATGTCCCCTTCCCACCCGAGAAAAATCAAAGAGCCAGGAAGGATTACAGCACACGGAATTGCTCATCGCTCAACCCCAGTTCACAGGAAAGTGCCAAGCTGGGTATGTCTACACTGCAGAGTTTTTCCGAAAAAACTTCAATTACGTCCACACTGCAATTGCATCCTTTTGGAATAAAAAATCGAAAGAACAGAGGGGTTTTTCCAACACTGGTAAACTTCTTTCGACGATGAAGAAGCCTTTTTCCGAAAGAGCTCTTTTGGAAAAAGGCGTGTGTGGACGGGAAGAGGGAGGTCTTTCGAAAGACGAGGAAAGAGGAAAAAGCACAGGTGCCCCGGTGGCCGCTCCGTCCATAGTAATCACAGCTTACATGCGAGAGAGCGTCTATTTAATGTGGATGCTATCTGTCGAAAAAGCAGATCGCTTTTTTGATGCACTTTGGCAGTGTGGACGCGTCTCGTCCAGAAGTTTTTTTTCCGAAAGCTTCTTCCGAAAGAAGCCTGCAGCCTAGACATAGCTGTTGTCTCAGTTCAAAACAGCTCTGTTTTCCTCCTCTCTTCAGGTCCCCTTTTTAAAACATACTGCTTCTGGATGGTTTTTTGTGTCATGGGTCGTTTTCCCCTTCATTCCCTTCTCCCCCGAGCAAAGGGAAGGGAGGGGGGGAAACATGGATGGTGGAGGGGAAAAGAAAAACCAGATGGTGAGGCAAGATGACATGGGGGAATATGGAGCATTGGTTGGAGAAGCCGGGTGTTTCGAACACCGGTTGAGAGAAGATTGAGTTAGGAGCATGCGGATCATGTGTGATATGGGGATGAGGGGTAGAAAGGCTTTTAAATTTTGGCCACTGGGCCATGTTCAGAAGAGACTTTGGTCCTTGTAGGTGTCATTTATGGGTCAGAAACCAGTACCGATACTAATGACGGCTTGTTATTGCAGCAATGCTAGAGGTACCTGTGTACGTGATTTGAGATCCTAGGCCCCATGTTTAGATCCGGATCCTCATAAGTATGTCTTTGCACATGCAAGAGAACAGTGGTTTTCAAACCATGGCCCACGGCCGATCAGCGCGCAGCTGCGGCCCATGGGACATCCCACATAACGCACCAACCCGCAATGGCAAATGGGTGGAGAACCCCGGAGTTATGCCGCCCATGGGAAGGACGGTTTCTCGTAACTGCACAAAGCAGAAAGCAAACTCTTCTGGAAAGCATCGTCGTTTCCAACCATCGGCGTGCGCAGCACATTTCAGTAGGGGGTGCACCCAAAGAATTTTTTTTAAATGTACTTTGACCCTCCCCATTAGCCACACCTCTGACCCCTGTTAACCACGCCCCTGGCCCCCATTAGCCACGCCTCTGGAGGTAACCCTCTCTGGGCAAGAGGGGCACATGACCAAAAGTAAAAAATGTTATGTGACCCCCAACCCAAGGACTTTTCCCACCATCCTCCTCCCAATAAGGATTAGTTTGGCCCCACCAACCTGCCCATGCAACTATCCTGCAACTGCATTAATCCAATATGTGTGACATTAATGAGGGGGTAGAGGGGAAGTGTTCCCTCTAAGATATTCCTCCCATGAGCAGAATGAATTTTGTATTGTGCACCAGTACCAAATTCATGTGGCTTGTTTGTATGTGCCATTGTGGCACCCAAGTTATTAATAAATATCTACCTTTCCCCTCTGCTGCCATGTCTCCTCCCCTTGCTCCATCAACTCCCCTCGTGCCTGCTGCCCCCCAACCCCTCACCCTCTTCTGCTGTCGTGACTCCTGCCCTTAGCTTTCCTGAGACCGGCCTGCCCTCCACCAGCCCTTCTCTCCCCCC